ATTTTGGTAAAATCACGATTCAGCCCTCTTAAGTTTAAGCACGTTTTGCATATTAGTCCCTGAAGGGACTATTTTTTAATTTTTCCCTTTTAAGCCTGATTATTATTTTTTGGGTTTAATTTATTTACACCCCCTATATATTTATATATTTATATTTTGAACATTATATTTATTTTATTTCAATTCTGCAATTTTTATTTATTTTAATTTGATCCCCTTATTTTATTTTAATTTTGGTATAATAATTTATTACATTTATTTTAGTTTTTAATTTTTTTAGTGTTAATTTCCTTTTTAATGTTTAGATGTTGTTCTTAATTGGTTTGACCCTTAATTTAGCCTTCGTTTAAATCCTAATTTTAGTAACTTTAACTTTTAACCTCCATAAAATATGAATCCCTTTAATTTAGCTAGCTTTAATTTAAAATACTTTATATTTAGATATATTAATTAAATTTATGTAAACTATCCTAAGTTTAAAGTTTAAATGTATTTTATATAAAGTAGGCGTATATATTTATTTATTAAATAATAGGTAAAAGTTTTAAAACATTTATACATACATTTTATATAGTAGGTGTATATGTTTCATATAATATGAGATCTATTTTTAAATATACCCTTTAATTTTATCTCCAATTTCATTTTAATTTCCTTTTTTTATTGGTTTGACTTACTTTTAAATTTATAATTTTTTTTTCAATGTATTTGCATCAATCTCCTTAATAGTATATTAATTTATTATTAAATATGTTTCTTTTCTAATTATGTGCATTTGTTTTATTGTAACATATATGGTAAATATATTTATATTGTGGTGTGTGGCTATTAATGTGTAATTAAGTAAATAACTTTTGAATGCATGTTGACCTCATAATGTTCCCCATTTCATTTCTTTCCATTGTAAAATAATATGTATTTGTTAATAATGGATTTATTACACATTTCATTAAAATAATTAGATACATGTATTTTAATTTTTCTTAGTCATATTTAATTACTATTAGTTTTTTAACATGTTTATAAATTACATATATAGTCGCATTTACTTGTACATATGAATTTAGGTACATGACATCCCTAATTAATCTTGTATGATTCCCTCGTCAGCATCACTTGACTCGAATCAAAATAATTTGATTAAGGGTAATATTCGATCATTTTAATATTGTCGTAAAGTAACTGTCTTAACGTATAAGAAAGTTTTTTTTCGATAATTTTAAAACGAAAGTCTATCCTGTTAAGTGACACCAATTAAATTGAATTCATTTTTAAAATTAAGGGATTGAGGAAAATATCATATTCTTTTAATTAAATTCATGGAGAAAAGACTGTTAGATCGAATCTATGGTCTCGTCTCGCGATATTTAATTAATTGAATATCCTTATTCTCATTAAATATTGGTCAAATAAATAATTAATCAATTGTTTGATATGTTTATTTATTTAACTTTGGCATGTGTTTTCAAAGGGTTTTTAAAATAATAATGTTCGATCTAAAATAATTAAATATTATTGTTTTCAATCTTAACATTATTTTAGGTATTATTATTTTGAAATTTAGAATGGAATTCCAATATTTCTTTATTTTGATTGGAGTAAGAATCGATTGCTTCGAGGTATGATTGATCAATTCTTCTCGATAGGAAATAATTAAATATTTTTATCTTTCATCCAAAATTTCAAAGAACATTATTCTAGGGGATCTTAAATTAAGTTAAACTCGAACTTGTACATTTTATTGCAAAGACAATTAATTAATCGACTAGGTACCGATTTAGGGCGTTGTGGGGGTGCTAATCCTTCCCCACACGTAACCGACTCCCGAACTCAAAATTTGGTAAAGCATACCACAAGTTTGTCGTTTTAATTAAAATTAATATTTTATTTAAATGACAAATATATTTTTGGGTGCCCAATCACACCCTAATCAAAGATTGGTGGCAACTCCGTGAACCACGTTTTTATCACAAATTTATCATACTAAAATCATTTTCGAAGCGAGACCACCCCTTTCCCCTTTGGGTAAAAGATCGTTTCAGCACTGCCGATCAACAAAGACAAAACGAAAAAGAGATAAACGGCTTACCAATTATAGAAAACTAAGAAAAAAAACTAAACCCATTCTTATCCTAATCAAATATTAAATATTAAATATTAAATATTAAATTTGATAGTATTTATATTTCTTTTGAATATTCGAAGGATGCATGTCCGGTGCTCCATCAGATAAATACCTAGTGAGTACAATTAATGTGTGTGAATATATATATATATATATATATATATATATATATATATATATATATATATATATATCAAGTTGAATGATATCTACATAAAAATCTGATTAAAAATTTCATTTAAATTAAAAATATATAAGCTGCATTGCATTTTTAAAAGATCGTGATGTTAATGAAGCATCAAGTGATTGAAGATGATACAAATTGGGAGGCAGGTCGGGCCCGCCCGTTACCTTCCCCGGCTAATAATTCAAAGTTAGACATACTTTTCATGAAAGTTATGCGTTCAAATTCAAAAAGCTTTTTTTATTTAAAAAATAAGATATTTAATTTTATCATAATGCATAATTATTATTTATTCTTTCGCATAAACTAAACTACCTCAATGATTAAATAAATGATTCTTATCTTTAGAGGTATTAAGTTCGAGCATTAAAAACAGTAAAGATGTTTGATCTTTTATTATTAAATAGCCAATAATCTTTAAAACATATACTACTTATAATTATCTCTCACTTCTTTGTCATCGTATCAATCATGGTAAAAAAATATGCCCTATCTTTGCAAAAAGAAAGCTTAAATATGTATGTGTTTTATGCATTCATATATATATATATATATATATATATATATATATATATATACTTTTTATAGTGGGTTCTATATTTTAAGTTTATTACTATAATTAAGGATATAATGGTCGGCCTAGTGCCATCTCCTGATCTCCTCGCTATAATATCTGGCAGTGATAGTATCTTGGCCTTTGTCGACTTCCTCTTGTGTTGCCCTTGTTAGTATAATAAAAGGCATATAATTAAATATATTAGAGAAAAAGAGTCTAAATCTTCAATAGTTGGATAGTAGAAAAATTTAATAAAAAAGTAATAATCATTTGACAAAATCTTGAATTATTACATTTGAACTATTACACCATTATTGGATTAAGCACTAACAAAAAGTAACGAAACAAATCTACCAACGAATCTATTATATATATTAATTTAAGATCATCAAAGCAAAAGTTAAAATTAAATTAGTGCGTTTTGCTTTCGTGAAACCCATGTGAAAAATTTGGTTTCAAATGCCAAAGCAGGAAGTTCAAACATGGTTCAACAGGGAAACGAAAAGCTTGCTCATGCTGACAAAGGAAAGGAAAATACCTCTTTCGTTCACCCAAATTTTCTTCCTATAATTACTTATTTTTTTATTATATTTATCTTAAAAATTTATTTGTGTTTATCTTATATAAAAATTTTATATCGTTAATATAAATGTATGTGCTATGTAGTTTCTTTGTTGGTTCAGCTTTTTTATATTGCCGGGTAAAATATTTTTTTTACTCTTTTTAGGTTCAAAGAAGTTTTTAACTAAATATTTTAGTAAGACCTTAATTACTTAATTTTATTAATAAATATTTTATTTGTCGAGAAGAATAATATGGAGCTACTCACAAAAATAATTTTAGGTCCACTCTTACGTTCCTATCTAGGGAAGATAGTTGATGAATCCACTCAGGTCCATGCAGAAGGATAATTCTCAGGGTGCTCGATTGTCAACGACCCTTCCACCTCGACGGTTAACTTCAGCGATCAGAAATATTTTTGAGGATGAGCATATAAATATTAATAATAGAAAATTTTCGTATAAAGTAGACACAAATAAAATTTTAAGGTAGCTATCAATAATAAAATGAACAATTAATATAAATAAATTTCGATCCTAGGATAAACATGTATCCACCTTAAACAAACCTTGCCTCCGCCACTGATTAACTTGTCTACACCATAATTAGTAGGTGCGACCAAGGTTAGAGAAAATTTACCAGTATTTAACGAGATGAAGTTGGAATGATTGGAATGTATGTAGCGATGGTTACGGATTCTGACTCGAATTCTACGAGTTTCAATCTGAATCTGATATGTTTTGATTCAACTCGATCTTATTAGGTCGAGTTTTTAATAATAAAATTAAGTTTGAGTCAGATAGGATCATATTGAATATTTTAGATTATGAGATCAGGTCATGTTCATATTTAGAAAGAAAAAGTATCTGAACTGACATGACCCAAAAAATAATATAATTATATCTATATATTTAGAGAGAATTACAATAATACATCTCGCTATATTTTTTTAATTTGATCCCTATTTTAATATAAAATTAAGAATTATATATTTGTGTCAGGTCATATCAGGTTAAGTGCAAGTTTTATAAAAAAAAAGAGGAGTTAAATTTTGGGTCGAATAAAGTCACCCTAAATTTAGATCGTATCCAATTTCGAGTAAAAAATATATTTTGTTTAGGGTCGAATTAGATTGACTGAAAATCCAACCCAACCAACCCATGACGATCCCTAAGTGTATGGGATGAGCGGAATCGAGGAACCAACCATTATGAAGGAAGTCACAATAGCTTGTTGAAAGAAAGTAAATGTACAAAAATGTGAGCATAAATATAAACAAGGGTACATTACATGTTTGGTCACCAACATAATTTTGTGTTTCTATTTTATTCATCTAACTATATTTTTTTCAAAATTATATCTAACATGAGGTTTCGTTTTAGTTGGTCATCCAACTATATTCTAATGTTTTTATTTTTGTCCTCAAAACATTTACATTTTATCAAATTGTTCATAATTCAAAATAATTTAATAAATCCTCAATATTTAAAAAATCTATCAATTTGATGCAACATAAAATCATTCTTCCAAATCTCGGTCTTCCTCAACACTCATTTCCCAACGTCCTCTTCGCCCGTTTAAGACGTGAAATTCAAGACCAACGTGAGATGATACTATTTATCATGTTCATCGAGATTGATGGATGCCTATAAATACAACCATCTCATAGATGCATTAGAATCACACCAAACTTAAAAGAGCCTTTTAAGCATACACTAAAGAAATGTCTTCTCAAGTTTCTGCAAATCTTGTTCCATCTCAAGCTGTTAACATGTCCAAGGAGAATCGCCATTTGGCCGATTATATTCCCAACTTTTGGGGGGAAATTTTCCTCTCTTCTCCTTCTGATATGGTATGTTCCTACTTGTGAATACCTCTTTTAGTATGTGTATGACACAATGGAACGGGTACTTTGAACTTAACTGAAAGCTTTTCATGCTTCAACAGGATATGGATGCTGGAACTCAACAAGAGTACCAAGAATTGAAGCGACAAGTGAGGAGAATGTTAGTGAAAAGCATCGACAAACCATCCCGAAAGGTGCACATAATCGATGCGGTCCAACGCTTAGGCGTGGCTTATCATTTCAAAAAAGAGATTGAAGATGCCCTGCAAATTGTATACCAAACTGATGATGATGATGATCTCTGCACTAATGCTGTTCGGTTTCGTTTGCTAAGAGAGCATGGCTTCAATGTTCATCACGGTATGCCTTAACTTTTTAAAACCAATATTCATACAAAGGGTAATAAATATGGAACTTATGGAATTCAAAATTTTCTTGCTGATTGAGTAGATACATTCAACAAGTTCAAAGATGAGAATGGAAAGTTCAAAGAATCCTTAATCAGTGACATTAAAGGCATGTTAGAGTTCTATGAAGCTGCACACTTTCAACTGCAGGGAGAAAGTATATTAGAAGAAGCTCTTTCTTTCACCACATTTCATCTAAAGTTGGCAGAAACAATGGTGGATTATCCTCTCTCCTTACAGATCGCCGGTGCTCTAAAACGACCGCTACGCAAGAGCTTACCTAGACTGGTTGCTAGGAGCTACATTTCCATATATGAAGGATATGGTAACCAAGATCAAAACTTAATGAAATTCGCAAAGTTGGATTTCAAAATGGTTCAACATTTGCACAAGCAAGAGTTGAAGGAGATTAACAGGTAATCAATAGTGCTAAAGGTTTTGATCCTTATTCAACAGATAAATATAAATTTTCAGTTTTTCCCTTTATTTCAGGTGGTGGAAAGGTTTAGATGTAGCGACCAATTTTCCTTACATACGAGATAGATTGGCGGAGTGTTATTTGTGGATAAATGGAGTGTACTTTGAGCCCCATTACTCCATTGCTAGAACTTTTATGACCAAAGTAATATCCCTCACATCAATAACGGATGATACTTATGATGCATATGGCACACCAGAAGAACTTGAACTCTTTACAAAAGCAATCCACAGGTCACTCAGAACATATATCCACCTTCACATCAAATCATTACAAGTTTTGTTGACATATCGATGACATATTGCAGGTGGGATATCAACTGCACGGATCAACTTCCGGACTACATGAAATTGCTGTATCGTGAAATCTTAAATGTTTTTAAAGATATGAATGATTTGATGTCCGAACAAGGAAAATCATATCGTGTCCCACTCGCAATTGAAGCGGTATATATAATCTAACTTTGTCTTTTTCTTTCGCATCGAAAAATGTACTTAATTTAAGATGGTTTTGCTAACTTCGTGTTTGTTTGTATATTAATAGATGAAACAAGTGTGTGAAGCCTACTATACTGAGGCCAAATGGTTCCATGAAAAATACATGCCAAAAGTGGAGGAGTATTTGTCTGTTGCATTTGTTTCTTGTTGTTATCGGATGCTTACAATTGTATCTTTCGTTGGCATGGAAGATAGCATAACAAAAGAGACATTCATTTGGGCATTTAATGACCCCAAGATTCTTAGAGCTTCAACAACTATTTGTAGGCTGATGGATGATGTTGTTAGTCACCAGGTATAACATTGATGAACTGTAATATTCAGGTTGATTTCGGTTCGATTTAATTCGTTTCTTTTATTGTAGTTTGAGCAAGTGAGAGGACATGCTCCTTCTGCGGTGGAATGCTACATAAATCAATACGGGACATCAGCACAAGTGGCATACGATGAGTTTTACAAGCGAATAAACAATGCTTGGAAGGATCTGAATGAAGAGTTGTTGAAACCAACGGCAGTGCCAAAGTTGGCTCTTGATCGAGTTCTAAACCTTACAAGGGTCATTGATCTGCTTTACAAGGACGAAGATGCTTATACACGTGTTGGCGAATCTGCAAAAACTAGCATCACTATGTTGTTGATTGATCCAATCTCAATTTGATTCGAGAACTTAATGATTTAAATAAAGTTAGAGTTGGAGTCTCAATATTTGCATGGAACTTACTCTCTTGTTCTTCTTGTGTCCTCATTTGTAAAATAAATAAATGTGTTGCTTAAACTTAAGATTTATGTATTGTGTCTATTGTATTTATGAAACTTAATGTTTTTAAAAGAAATTATATATATAGTAATTGTTTTCTTCAATTTTTTTTTGTGTAAATCACGTGTTTTCTATCCATTTTTTGGTGTGCAACAATGTTCTTATATTAAGTATGTTAGGGTAGAATACACACGTGGTTCTTTAACTATAAGATACTACTTTATTAGATCCATCGATTATTAAAAGTTATAAAATGATCTTTCAACTATTGGGAGTTGTTATGTTTTGTCCCTCAACTATTAACAATTACAAAATGATCATTTGATTGTTCATTATATTTCCAAACTCGTCCTTTTTTGGATCGGCGGGTGGCGATCACATTGGAAAGTATTCATAATGAAAATGAGTGTTCTCAGAAAATCATAGACGAATACAGGGGCAGACCTTCATGGCGGTCAAGTGGAGGCTTGGTCTCCGCTAATTATTTTTTAAGTATTAATTAATATTGAATAAAAAATATATTTTTTAAAAATAATTTTTTTATCAGATCCCTCCTCACTTTAAAAAAAAATTATATTTATGGAAAATAAAAAAATTTTACGAGTACATATATGCGAAGATAGACCAAGGAAAGACAAGAGTTTCAAAGGGGCAACTTGCCCCCACATTCGTTTTATTAAAATACTTAAGCTTATGTTGTTTAAATTTGAGAAATTAATGCGATATTATCCTAAATAGCGGAATTATAGTTAAAAATTTGAAATACCAACATTTAGATAACATATAATCAAGTAGGTGTCGGAATTGAACGTTTTGGGGTGCTCGTTATTCCTCACACGTAATCGATTCCAAAATTCAATTTTGATAAATCTTTAGTTACACGTATATTGTAAAATTGTCTTTAAAATGGAATTTTTAAACCTTTCTTTTAAAATCGAGTTTTTAAATAACTTCCTAAAATAGTCAAGAATTGGATCCCAAAGGTTAAGGACGATTACAACAGAATGTTTAATAAAATTCAATTGGACTGGAAAAAATATTTTTAAAATTTAAAATTATTCAAATTGTTTGAGTTATGTATGTCTACTAGGATCCAACACTTCTTTCTCTTTTAAAATAGGATAAATTACAAAATTGGTTACTTTCGTTTAAATTGTATACACTTTTTCTTATTAAATTCAAATGATATAATATTTGATCACTTTCGTTTTTATTTTATTAAGATGTAGTTATGTTCGTTTTTATTTAATTAAGATGTGATCACTTATTTTAAGACAATTAAATAAAAGTGACCACATATTAATTAAATAAAAACGAAATTGATTAAATATTATATTTTTTGAATTTAGTGAGAAAAATATACAAAACTAAAACGAAAGTGATCAATCACGTAGTTTACTCTTTAAAAAAGTGGTTGTTATTATTAGTGTTACTTGTTGAAGTTGAAAAGTCAAGACAAATGTTTGGCAGCCACAATTTTTGAAGTTTAAGTGACAGCCGGCGGCTAAATGAAGAAAACATGGGCTGCCTAATTTTGTTGAATTTAGGCTTGGGTTAATCACACATTTAGTCATTGCATTTTAGGGTATTTTCAAAGATTAGTCCCTAAGCTTCAACTATAAATACCCTAACCCATTTAGCTTCAAAATCATCTCAAATCATTTCTTTCTCCCAATACTAGAGAGTTTGCTTGTGAGTAGTGAGTGTTTTGTAAACACTGTAAATTTTCTCTCTTATTAAAAGATCTGTAGCAGTACGGAGACGTAGGCAAAATTGGCTGAACTCCGTTATCAATATCGGGTATTATTTTTCTGCTTTTATTTCGCATTCTCACTAATCTGGTTATAAGGAAATTACTCGTTCGTGTTTTATTTCCCAACAACTGGTAATCAAAGCTTTTGGTTGAGAATTTTGTCAATTTTTTGCGAGGTTACTATTCATTACTATTTACATGAATAGTGAATTTCGTGTATAGTAAAATTTTTGTCAACGATACGAATTTGTCGACGGAGGTGTTCTAATACACGATGATTCACAAGAATTGTCAGAAACGATCCAAACGAAGCCAGATTCGAGTGGGAACGATGGATGCAGACGAAGGGAAGGTGAAAATTGAAAAGTTCGATGGTGCGGACTTTGGGTTTTGGAAGATGCAGATCGAAGATTTTCTGTACCAGAAAAATCTATATCAACCCCTCTCAGGAAAGCAACCAGAGGGCATGAAGAATGAAGACTGGGCCCTTCTCGACAGACAAGCCCTCAGAGTTATCCGACTGACGTTATCCCGCAATGTTGCTTTCAACATAGCAAAGGAAAAGACCACGGCGGGTCTTATGGCGGCTCTCTCCAGTATGTATGAGAAGCCATCGGCCTCAAACAAAGTTCATTTGATGAGACGATTATTCAATTTGCGGATGACGGAAGGGGCATCGATGGCACAACACCTAAATGAACTCAACACAATCACAACCCAGTTGAGTTCAGTGGAAATTGAATTCGATGATGAAGTTCGAGCTTTAATTCTCTTATCATATCTACCAGACAGTTTGAATGCTACTGTTACAGCAGTCAGCATCTCGTCGGGAAGCAACAAATTAAAATTCGATGATGTTCGGGATATGGTACTGAGAGAAGAAATTCGACGGAGAGAATCAAGTGAAGCATCAACCTCCTCAGCCTTGCACACGGAGTCCAGAGGGAGAACTTCAGAAAGAAATTCAAATCGTGGCAGATCCAAATCCAAAAGGGGAAAATCAATAACGGGAAAGAAAGATTTTACCTGTTATAACTGCGGCAAGAAGGGTCACTTTAAAAGAGATTGCCGAGTATCGAAGAAAAATACCGGCACACAGGAATCTGCCAACGTGACAGAGGAGACAGGTGATGTCATGATTCTAAGCATCAACAGTCCGATTGAATCATGGATCTTGGATTCAGGGGCATATTTCCTCTCCACCCATGCCAAGAAATCATGGAGAACTATGTCAGTGGTGATTTTGGGAAGGTTCATCTAGCCGATGATGAAACCTTGAAGATCGTCGGAAAAGGAGACATCCGATTAAAGTTGCCAAACCAGACTACCTAGACGCTGAAGGGAGTGAGACATATTCCTGGCCTCAAAAGAAATTTGATTTCTGTAAGACAGCTTGATGGAGAAGGATATAGCACAAACTTTTCAGGCTGTGAATGGAAGATTACCAAAGGAGCACTCGTCATTGCTCGTGGTAAGAAGACTGGTACTCTCTATGTAACATCAAATTTAGAGAATATCATTGCTGCAGCAGATGCTGATGGAAAATCAAACCTATGGCACCAAAGGCTTGGTCATATGAGCGAGAAATGGATGAAGACACTTTTGTCAAAAGGGAAGTTGCCGGATCTAAAGAGTGTAGATGTCGGACTATGCGAGGATTGCATCTTTGGCAAACAAAAGAAAGTGAGTTTTGCAAAGATTGGCAAGACACCCAAGGCTGAAAAGTTAGAGTTGGTTTATACTGATGTATGGGGACCATCTCCAGTTCCATCTCTAGTAGGCTCATTATATTATGTCACCTTCATCGATGATTCTACGAGGAAGGTGTGGGTTTATTTTCTGAAGAAGAAATTAGAAGTCTTTGATACCTTCAGAAAAATGGAAGGCCATGGTGGAAAATGAGACTGGTTTGAAAGTCAAGCGATTGAGGTCTGATAATGGAAGAGAGTACAGAAATAGAAGATTAAGAGATTTCTGCGCAAACAATGGGATCAAGATGGAGACAACAGTTCCCATGACACCGCAGCATATTGGCGTAGCAGAGTGCATGAATAGAACTCTGAATGAACGTGCCAGAAGCATGAGGATACATGCCAGAATCAAGTAGCTCCAATACCAAAGCTGAAACAAAAGAATTTGCTGAGTTTGAGGAGATTTCTGGAAATGATGTTCAGATCAATCCTAAAGCAGTTCAAGAAGAACTACGCACACCAGAACTGAGACGCTCCTCCAGAATTCCTAAACCAACCCAGCGTTATTCACCTTCTTTGCACTACTTGTTACTGACTGACAATGGTGGACCAGAGTGCTATGATGAAGCAATGCATGTGGAGGATTCAGTCAAGTGGGAGTCTTCCATGAAAGATGAGATGGACTCGCTTATGTTAAATCAGACATGGGAATTAGCTGAATTACCACCAGGCAAGAAAGTGCTCCATAACAAGTGGATCTACAGGATCAAAGAAGAGCACGATGGGAGCAAACGCTACAAAGCAAGATTGGTTGTCAAAGGGTTTCAACAAAAAGAAGGTATTGACTACAATTAAATTTTCTCTCCAGTTGTGAAACTGTCTACAATCAAACTGGTGTTGAAAATTGTAGCTGTAGAGAATCTACATCTTGAGCAGATAGATGTAAAGACAACTTTCCTTCATGGTGATTTGGAGGAAGAAATCTATATGAGGCAGCCAGAAGGCTTCATAAAGGCAGGCAAAAAAAACCTGGTATGTAGGTTGAAGAATAGTTTGTATAGTTTAAAACAAGCTCATAGACAGTGGTACAAGAAGTTTGATAGTTTCATGAGTAGCAGTGGTTTTACCAGATGCCAAGCATATCATTGTTGCTACATCAAGAAGTTCGACAACAACTTCATTATTTTATTGTTGTATGTTGATGACATGCTTGTTGCAGGTTCAGACATGCAAGAGATTATAAACTTGAAGCAAAAATTGTCGAAGTAGTTTGCAATGAAAGATCTGGGCATTGCAAAGCAGATTCTTGGGATGAGGATCAAGAGAGACACAAATTCGGGGACTTTGATGTTATCACAGACTGAGTACATCAACAAAGTACTCTCCAGGTTCAACATGTAAGATGCTAAACCAGTAAGTACACCTTTAGGTGTTCACTTTAGACTCTCCAAAGAACAGTCACCAAAGACGGAGGAAGAACGTGCACACATGGTGAAGGTGCCGTATGCCTCAGCAATTGGAAGTCTGATGTATGCCATGGTTTGTACCAGACCAGATATTGCTCAAGCAGTGGGAGCTGTTAGCAGGTATATGAATAATCCGGGCAAGGTACACTAGGAAGCAGTCAAATGGATCCTCAGATATCTGCGGGGTACCACAAACAAAACACTTTGTTTCAAAGGTGGAGATATGATACTGACAGGCTATGTAGATGTTGACTTAACCGGAAATGTCGTCATCAGAAGAAGCACTACAGGGTATGTCTATACTCTAGGAGGAACTGCAGTGAGTTGGGTTTCTCAACTATAGAAGATAGTTGCTCTCTCCACAACTAAAGCAGAATATGTCACTGTTACGGAAGCCAGCAAGGAGATGGTTTGGCTCCAAAGTTTCTTAGAAGAGTTAGGCAAGAAACAAGAAAACAATGTCTTGTATTGTGACAGTCAAAGTGCTATCCATCTAGTGAAGAATCCGTCTTTTCATTCCAGTACGAAACACATACAATTGCAATATCATTTTATCCGGTCTCATCTGGAAGATGGGATTTTAAAACTTGAAAAGATTAGTGGAGCTCAAAATCCGGCAGACATGTTAACAAAGACGGTGACTGCGGACAAACTAAAGTTGTGTTCAACTTCAGTTGGCTTGCTAGACTAACAAGACCAGAAATGCTGCTGCATTGATCGAGGTGTGAAGACAGATTAAAATCAGTCTTCGAGTGGGAGATTGTTGAAGTTGAAAAGTCAAGACAAATGTTTGGAACCCACAATTGTTAAGTTTAAGTGGCAGCCGACGACTAAATGAAGAAAACATGGGCTGCCTAATTTTGTTGAATTTAGGCTTGGGTTAATCACACATTTAGTCATTGCACTTTAGGGTATTTTCAAAGATTAGTCCCTAAGCTTCAACTATAAATACCCTAACCCATTTAGCTTCAAAATCATCTCAAATCATTTTTTTCTCCCAATACTTGAGAGTTTTCTTGTGAGTAGTGAGTGTTTTGTAAACACTGTAAATTTTCTCTATTATTAAAAGATTTGCAGCAGTCCGGAGACGTAGGCAAAATTGGCTGAACTCCGTTATCGATATCAGGTATTATTTTTCCGCTTTTATTTCGCATTCTCACTAATCTAGTTATAGGAAAATTACTCGTTCGTGTTTTATTTCCCAACATTACTGCAACTTTGTTTTATTTATTAAATCAATATACCACATCGGTTAGTTCATCTTTTGTGGACAGTTTCTTCGGTGATTCCTCCCCTTGTGGCTTCATAATATAGAAAACGGTAAACTACTCCAATGGTCACTAATGTTTGGATAATTTTTCGTTTTCACCACTGATGTTTCAAAAGTTACAAATCGGTCACTACCGTTATCATTTGTTTTAAATTGGTCACTCGCTGTTAACAGGCATGACGAAAAACAAACGTGACCTGTTAACATAACAGCAGTTAACAGGCTTACCTGGATGGTATAGTTACACAAATAGTCCATGTTATTCATATATTGAAAACGGTAAACTACTCCAATGGTCACTAATGTTTGGATAATTTTTCGTTTTTACCACTGATGTTTCAAAAGTTACAAATCGGTCACTACCGTTATCATTTGTTAAATTGGTCACTCGCTGTTAACAGGCATGACGAAAAACAAACGTGACCTGTTAACATAACAGCAGTTAACAGGCTTACCTGGATGGTATAGTTACACAAATAGTCCATGTTATTCATATATTCTTTCAATTTGATCCTAGTTTTAATAAATTAAAATATATTTATTTTTAATTCTTATAAATAATTAAATATTTTTAAAAAAGGAAATCAAAATTTTAAAATTAGTTATAAAACAAAAAAATAACATTTTTTTTAATGTTAGGGTAACTAATAAAAACAAAAAAAATTAACGTTTTTTAATAAAAATAACATTTTCACTCCTTGTTTGAATAAGAGATTTGAGATTCTAATTTATTAAAAAGTTATTAAAAATTTTAATATATAAAACATTATTAAAAAGTTTAATTTGATATGTACATTGATTTGAACTTGGATTAATTATTTTTAAAAAAATACTTATTGAACCTTTTTTTATTATTTTAGAGAACATTTATTGAAAACAAGGAAAAAAACGTTTATTGTTTTATAATTTGATGTATTTTCATTTGCAATTTCTAAAAATCATGTCCATAACTAAACACGTTTTTCTTGATATTTTTATTTTTTAAGAAAAACAAAAAGGAAATGATATTTGTTTTCCAAACCAAACAAAACCGTAATAATTTATAAGTCATGCATTTGTGTGCAGCTCATAATTGTAGAAGTCTTTCTCAATGAGACTTTTAATACGCTGAAATTCATTCGGTCTACATTGGCCTCCTTGGGACCGATAATTAATGCGAAAAATTTCATACATTTATAATCCTGATCTATAGAATTTTCTAAATAATTATGAGATAATATAGTTTAAAGATAATTTTAAATATTTTACATTAAATGCTCATACCTCATTGTATTCCTAATGTTCGAACTCGAACTTTAAAGAATAATTTCTTTAACATCGAGATCTTTTGGTTTGCGTATATGAAAAATACTGATTAATTATGTAAAATATGTTTAATTTAAGGAAATATATATTCGAGACGGTCAAATATCTGATCATTATTTTATAAGAAAATACAAAGTAAATTATTTATTACTAATTACTATATATTCGAGAAATAGTTGTCTTTGGACCCTCAAAGAACAGACTAACAAGTCATACCACTGTTTTATACATACATTAAGAGCAATGAAATATTCTCCTGAATTTTCACTCCAATGCCTTCAATTCATGGTTATGGTTCTTCTTTCGATTTCGTTCACCTGCACCGCAGCCTGCCGCTAGACATTCCGAGGCTTAGTCCGACAAGGGAACTCATAGAAAATCCCGAACTTCAATCATCTGCAGCAGTTTCACATGATCTTCAAACCTTTTATTACCCTCAAACACTTGATCACTTCTAGGGCTGTTCATTCGGTTAAAACGAACCGAACCAACTAACAAAACCGAATAACCAAACTTTTTTTCTTTAACCATTACCGAACCGAACTTTTTCGAACATATTAACCGAACCGAATAAATTTCGGTTAATTCGGTTAATTTTCGAATTAACCGATTTTTTAATTTTCTAATTTATATAAAAATTAAATGTTTTTTAATTCAAAAAAAAGTTTATAATTAATTTAAATAATATAATTATAAAATAAAAATTTAGATAAATTTTTTAATTAATTAATAATATTGATTTAGATTTAAAAGTTATTGGATCTTAAATTATTAATTGTGTTTTAAATGTTAGGGTTTAACCCATATGTTATATATAATATATTTAATATTTAATTAAAAAACAGTTTACAATTAATTTAAATAATATATAATTATAAAATAATTTTATATATTTTTTTAAATTAATTAATATTGATTTAGGTTTAAAAGTTATAGGATCTTAAATTATTAATTGAGTTTTAAATGGTTTGGGCTGAGCCCATATGTTATATATAATATATTTAATATTTAAAATTTAATTTCGGTTAATTCGGTTAATTAACCGAATTCGAACCGAATTAACCGTTAACCGAATTCTAAAAATTTTCTTAACCGTTAACCGACCGAACTAATTCGGTAACCAAACCGAATTAATTCGGTTCGGTCGGTTAACCGAATTAGTTCAGTTATTTGAACACCCCTAATCACTTCAACTACCAGCCTCAAAGCTACGCCACTTTTCAGCAAAGATACGTGATGAATTTCAAGCATTGGGGCGGAGCAAACGGTAGTGCCCCGATTTTAGTCTATCTCGGAGCAGAGGTGCCACTCGACAGCGATCTTACCGTAATCGGTTTCCTCAATGATAATGCCATCCGCTTCAATGCTCTCCTCGATTACATAGAGGTAAAAATAAAATTATTCCATCCATAATCAACTGAAAATCTCACAAAAATAATACTATATTTTCATTCAGCACCGATATTATGGAAAATCAATACCCTTTGGATCAAGAGAAGAAGCCTTTAAAAATGCAAGCACTCTGGGGTATTTCAACTCTGTACAAGCTATAGCAGACTATGTGGAAATCATCGTGCACATCAAGAAGAAACTCAATGCTTTCTATTCTCCGGTGATCGTCATCGGAGGATCATTTGGAGGAAGTAAGTTAGAATAATTAGATTGTATAATACGTTAACTAACACTAACTAATCATTTTTCTTTCTTTAATTCAAATGAAACTAGTGCTTGCTTCATGGCTTCGACTAAAGCACCGAGTGCTAAAATTTAATTTAAAAGATTTAATGACAAATTAAATTATAAGATTGTTCAGAAAATGAAAGACTTAATAAAATTAATTTTAAAAAATTTATGCACGGAGTGAACTTTTTTTCTTCACAAACAAGATTTTAATATTAGTATTTATTTTAAAAAAATTAAAAAAAGTTTGGGGAAGAAAAAAATGTTAATTTTATTAAAAAACGTTAATTTGTTTTTGTTTTTATAACTAATTTTAAATTTTTTCTTTCCTTTTTTAAAATATATCATTATTTATAAGAATTAAAAATAAATATATTTTAATTTATTAAAACTAGGATCAATTGAAAGAATATATAAAAACATGGACTATTTGTGTAATTATACATCCAGTAAGCTTGTTAACTGTTGTTAACATGTCACGTGTGTTTTCCGTCATGCCTATTAACGCGAGTGACCATTGTAACAACGATAACATTAGTTACCGATTTGTAACTTTTAAAACATTAGTGATGAAAACGAAACTTACCCAAACAATAGTGACCATTGGAGTAGTTTATGCTTAAAAATAGTAAATTAGCATTTATTAGATTTTGGCTTAATTTTTCTAGTCCCCTATTTTATTTATTTTGTTCTTGATTTCTGCTTATTTTATTTAGTCACCGAATTTAGTCATTTTTTATGTGTATTCATTTTAGCCACTGTTGGATTCTTTCTTCTTATTATGATTTGGATTGACGTTTGCAATTTATTCATTGTAGTCCTAATTTATTTTTAATTGGTTGCTTTTTTTATTTATTTGCATTCTGGTCCCTATTGTTAAAATACGAATATTAAACTTTAATAGACCTTGTGGTGACTTGTTAGGGTATGATCCACATTATTCATGGTCCAGGTAAAATTAATTTTTTAACTACTAATTACTAATTTATTAATAGCTAACTTTTATATTGGAACTAATTTACGACCTCGCGACGATCAGCCCTGGGGTATAACTCACGTTATCTATTGTATAGGTAACAATTAAAAATTAACCCCTAAATTCTAATTTATTCTATTGATTTACTTTCTGTTATTTACATTTCTTCCTTTAAATTTCTGTTATTTTAATTTGTGCCTTAATTTTCAGCATTTACATTTCAGTCCTTTAAATTCCAGCTTTTAATTTCTGCACTGTTTAATTTAAGTTTTATATTTGATTTCTTTCATTTTAGTCCTTTGTTTAATGATTTAATTTCACTTTTCATTTAGTCCTTTGTTTTCTACACTGTTAATTTAAGTTTTATATTTGATTCATTCATTCGTTATGAATGTTGACCTAATTTTTTTTTGGATAAGTAAGATTTTATTATCGAGAAGAAAGTATAAAATCGTCCAAACAGGGAGAAACAAATTACAACAAACTAATGGTTAATTAATACCCCAATTACAACGGATATATAGTTACTAAAATCGTTTATTGATCTTCTTCCCTCCTAGTTGAATCCAAACAATGTCCTTGATGAGGGACAGTAGATGAGCGCTTCACTAGTTTTATGCTTGAAGATTCTTCTATTCCTCTCCTCCCAAATCATATAGATGTAGGAAGTCCATGTAATTTTCAGTAAGGTAGAGATTACGATTTTCCTTTCATTTAACACATGCCCATTTCGATCATTCTTCCCAAGGTAAATGAGGTTTTTGCACATTTGCCAAATTTAAGATAGAATTCACAGTAATTTGGCAAAGTTACAGTCAGCAAAGAGATGATTCCTGGATTCGATAGCAACATTGCAAAGAACACATTGGGTATCAATGACATACCCATCCTTGACAGTCTATCCCTAGTTGGAAGTTGTCAAGAATGGCCATCCAAGAGATCATACTAAACTTAGGAATTTGCATAGGAAACCAAATGATTTTATGCCATGACACCTTACTTCTACTATCTCTCACGGCTTTCCAAATATCTCTAGTGTAAATCATACCAGTATTCAGGATGGGAAGAGCAATATGTCTCAGTTTCAGCAACTTTTAATATTCCAGCTGAGCTTTACAATAAATTTGTAAGCTTTTTCATGTAGACCCCAAACAAACAAGTCTAACACAATAAATAATTTATAGCTTTTCATATAGACCCAAAACAAACAAGTCTAACATCGTAATAAATAACCTCAACATTGATCAAAATGTCACGTGCAATTCAAGACCAACGTGAGATTATACTATTTAACGACAATATCATGTTCATTGAGTTGATGGACATAATGGACGGATGTATAAGTACAAGCACTCATAGATGCATTTGAATCACACCAAAACTTAAAAGAGCCTTTTAAAAAATTAGCTGGCCATATTTCATATGTAATGGGGTAAGGGAGATAGGGTAGTAGGCTGACCCCCAACGCTAGGTTGAGAATACTTCCGTGGAAGACCTCGAATTATGAATTGCCCACATAGGACTCGATCCCACGACCACAAGGTTAAGAGACTGTGCTCTATCAACTGAGCTGGACAGGCAATTGTAAAAGAGCCTTTTAAGTATACACTAAAGAAATGTCTTCTCAAGTTTCTGCAAATCTTGTTCCATCTCAGCTGTTAACATGTCCAAGGAAAATCGCCATTTGGCCTATTATAGTCCCAACTTTTGGGGGGAATTTTTCCTCTCTCCCTTCTGAAATGGTATGTCCTACTTGTGAATACCTCTTTAGTATGTATGACACATGGGAACGGGTACTTTGAACTTACTGAAAGCTTTTCATGCTTCAACAGGATATGGATGCCAGAACTCAACAAGAGTACCAAGAATTGAAGCAACAAGTGAGGAGAATGTTGGTGAAACACATGGACAAACCATCCCAAAAAGTGCACATAGTTGACGCGGTCCAACGCTTAGGTGTGGCTTACCATTTCGAGAAAGAGATTGAAGATGCCCTGCAAATATATATCAAATGACGATGATCTCTGCACTACTGCTGTTCGGTTTCGTTTACTAAGAGAGAGCATGCTTCGATGTTCATTGTGGTATTCCTTAAACTTTTTAAAACCAATATTCATACAAAGGGTAATAAATATGGAACTTATGAATTCAAAATTTGCTTGCTGATTGAGTAGATACATTCAACAAGTTCAAAGGTGAGAATGGAAAGTTCAAAGAATCATTAACCAGTGATATGAAAGGCATGCTGGAATTGTATGAAGCTGCACACTGTCAACTGCACGGAGAAAGATCTTTCTTTCACAACATTTCATCTAAAGTTGGCAGAAACGACGGTTGACTATCCTCTCCACACAGATTGCTAATGCTCTAAACCGACCCCTACGCAAGAGCTTACCCCAGATTGGTTGCTAGGAGCTACGTTTCCATATATGAAGGATATGGTAACCAGGACCAAAGCTTAATGAAATTCGCAAAGTTGGATTTCAATATGGTACAACATTTGCACAAGCAAGAGTTAACGGAGAAACAGGTAATCAATAGTGATGAATGTTTTGATCCTTATCAAGAGATAAAAATATATTTTGAGTATAAATTTCCCCCCCCCCCCATTCAGGTGGTGGAAAGTTTTAGATGTAGCAACAAATTTTCCGTTTGCACGAGATATATTGGTGGAGTGTTATTTTGGATAAATGGAGTGTACTTTGAACCCCATTACTCCATTGCTAGAACTTTTATGACCAAAGTAATATCCCTCATCAAATTATTGATACTTATGATGCATATGGTACACCAGAAGAACTTGAACTCTTTACAGAAGCAATCCACAGGTCATTCAGAAAATATATCCACCTTCACATCAAATCATTACAAGTTTTGTTATTGGATTATTGGGAGAGTTAGACGTTTGAGTTGCTGACATATTGTAGGTGGAATATCAACGGCATGGATCAACTTCCGAGCTATATGAAATTATTGTATAGTGAAATCATAAATGTTTTTAAAGATATGGATAATTTGATGTCCGAGCAAGGAAAAATCATATCGTGTCAAACTCGCAATAGAAGCGGTATATATAATCTAACTTTTTTTTTCTTTAATATTGGAAATTACTTAATTTAAGATGGTTTGCTAACTGGGTATTTGTTGTTTGTTAATAGATGAAACAAGTGTGTCAAGCCACTATACTGAGGCCAAATGGCTCCATGAAATACATGCCAACATGGTGGAGTATTTGTCTGTTGCATATGTTTCTTGCTGCTATCCGATGCTTACACTTGTATCTTTCGTTGGCATGGAAGACAGCATAACTAAAGAGACTTTCATTTGGGCATTTAATGACCCCTAGATTCTTCGAGCTTCAAAAAACTACTGTAGGCTGATGGATGATGTTGTTGGTCACCAGGTATAACATTTTTGCTTTTCTTCAGAAATTTATGAACTGTAATTTTGTGTTGATTTCAGTTCGATTTAATACATTTCGTAGTTTGAGCAAGACAGAGGACATGCTCTTCTGCCGTGGAGTGCTACATAAATCAATACGGGGCATCAGCACAAGTAGCATACGATGAGTTTACAAGCAAATAAACAATGCTTGGAAGGATATAAATGAAGAGTCTTGAAAGGAACGGCAGTGTCAACGTTGGCTCTTGATTGAGTTTTAAACATTGCAAGGGTTATTGATCTGCTTTACAAGGACAAAGATGCTTATACACATGTTGGCGAATCCGCAAAAAACTAGCATCACTATGCTGTTGATTGATGATCACAGTTGATCGAGAACTTAAGAATCAAATAAATTTAGAGTCACTTTTGAAAAGTGACAGCTAAAAATTCAGAGTTCAAATCTCAATATTTATGGAGCTTATTCTCCTTGTGTCCTCGTTTGATTCTATGCTAAATAAGTATGTTTTGGTTGGTAACCTTTTCCAAGTGTTTCAAATTTCAAGAGCAACAATTTTTTATATTGAGTATTTAATATTATTACATCCTCAAAATTCAAGTTCGAGACTTTAATAATATAGGAAGAATGCCATATTAGTTAATTCAAATATTGCTTGTTAATGCAGTAATTTTAGAACTTAGAATGACCCCTCTACAAGCCGAACCACTGTCTTCGGTCTCCGATAGATTAGGCCCAATCGACCAGCCATCGACGACCCCATTCATCCCATTCTCCTGGCAGCTTAATTCTAACTGAAACCTCCGGCTCGATGAGTTCATGTCTCACTGAATATCACCTCGTAGTTTATATCTTTCCAAGCATTCTCCACTTGCTTCTTCATGCCTCGTCTTCTGAAACTCTATATTGTCTCATTGTAACATTCAACAGCGATGGAACGGTCCTCTCTCTTGCTCAAATACATGTATTTATATGTAAGTTACGAAATTACTCTAACGGAATTCAAAAACAGAAAGTAACTTATGTGAAGCGATATCGTCCATCAGACTGAAATCAACCGATGAAGCAGCAACAATTTTCGGGTTGCTAAAAGCCCATTTAAAGATCTCAGGTGTCACTGAATCTTCCATTCAATGAAAGATGCGATTGTCAAGAGGATATAGCCTGCGGTTACAAGTACGTTCCTCATGTACTCCTCCATGGTTGGTACATACTTCTCTTGGTACCATTTGGCTAGACCATTCTAGCTTCTCATGACATTGACGAACTCACATAGGTTTTTAACAATTTTTAACTTTGAAAAAAAAAATCCAGATATGACTGTCACCAACATGGTCAATAATAAGGCTGCTAATTGAGTTGAGCAGGTCAAATTTGGCTCGCTAACTCTACTCGATAAGTTCACGAGTAACTTGTTAATTTTTTATGATGTTTTTGGGATATTGGTTGTCCTATTTATAGCATTGATTATATATTGTTAAACCTTTGTTTTTCAAAAAATGGTTGTAATATATTAATTTGGTGTATTATTACTTTGGATTTAAACTTTTGAATTGATTCACACACTATTTTGATTATTTTTGTTCAATTTGTTAATTCATGTTTATATTTAGCTCTATATAGTATTACTAGATTTTACAAATATTTTTTAAAAAATAAGGAAAAAGTTTCGATGAGCTTAACGAGCAACGAGTAGAGTTGAGCAATGAGTTTTTTAACGAGCACAATACGAACAAAATTTTATCGAGCTTAAAGAACATTGAATTAAGTCGAGCACGAGTTGAGCACTACTCAACTATGAGGGAATTCATGAGATTGAATCAAGATCAAATATTTAATTATCAAATCTGTCCTACATCTTAATAATCTGAAAAGGAAAGCAGAAAATAGGCAAATTACTACCTATCATCCAAACATCATAACAGGAGATTCACATACCTTATATCTCCTTACAACCATACAAGATGAAGACCTTACCCTCCGAAGAAGGACTCAAAACCTCTGAAGATGGACCTAAAATAAAAAATAAGATAGGAACTTACCCTCCAAAAAAGAGTTTGAGTTAACCTTCATATATATATATATATATAACTCATTAATTGACTAAAATTGTCATATAATATTTTTAATAATGTGACAGAATAAACTTCCATAGTCATATTTAACCAAAAACCTTCAAGGGCTAAAATAAAAATCAAGTCATACTTAGGGGTCAAATTATCTATTAAGTTATTTTTGAGTACTATAAAAAATCTATATACCACCATAGGGTAGTTCACCTCTTTTGTGGACAGTTTCTTTGGGTGAAATTCCCCCCCCCCTTTTGTTTCTGGCTTTGATAACATGGAAAATCAGCTTTCTAACACGTTTAAAAGGAGAAAGAGACGTGGCAGTAGCAATATCATCCATTTATTTTGAAAGAGAAAACAACTGTCGGTGCCTGAGTGGTACATGACCATTCAGACGAGTTTGTCCCATCTCAAATTAGACTTACTCTATTTTCTGGACCACACGTTATTCGTTCGTTTACGTTTGTTTGATCCATTTCAAAGTATCAAAACAAGTAGCCAAAACACATTTCCTCCACGCATAAAAGTAAACAAGAAACCCAGAAGATGAATCACCTAAACCATAAAACACAAACTCCCAATTATAGGCTCTCATCACCAGACACCCACCAGACAAGTCTGGTGAGTATACAATCGAATTGAGTCGAATCAAGTAGAAAAAATTGAACTAGTCAATTTGAGTACTAATTTATTATTCAATTTACTTAATTCTTTTGTTCGAGTTTATAACATTCATGTCCAATTTTCATTCAAATTTTATTGTAATTATTTATATCTTGATATTGGTTGGTTCCAATTTAAGTGATTCTCTCTATCATATACCATATAATATATATATATATATATATTATTTTCACATGTGTAAGTAAGATTTGTAATATTAATTAATAAGTAAATACAATCTAAAATTAATATTATATTATTATGTTATTTTTAAATAACGAATTTTGAGAATAAAGGACGAACCAAGCGACCTTGATGGTAAAAGAATTGTTATTTCTTGAGGTCTTGGGTTCGAGCACTATGAATGTCAGGGATCTGAGCATTCAATATCAAATGGTTGAGAATGTTATTTGAACATATATTACCTTATATTTACCCCAGATTAATAAAAAAAATTGAGAATAAAGTATTGACGAGAGTATAAAGGAGTCAAAAATTTGATAGGAATAAACAATTTGCAGAAAGTTATAGTCGGAGAATCAAAATGAATAAAATACAAAGTTGAGAGATTAAATTGTAAAAAATGAAGTTACACGTCTAGAATGATTGAAGAACAAATGTTTCAAATTCGATAAAAACAAACTTGCCTCCGTTAAAACTCAATAAACACTCGACTCGAGACATTAAAGAGTCGAGTTGAGTCGAGCAAGGTCTAACTCTACTCGATAAGTTCACGAGTAACTTGTTAATTTTTTATGATGTTTTTGGGATATTGGTTGTCTATTTATAGCATGATTATTTATTGTTAAACCTTTTTTTTCAAAGAATGGTTGTAATATATTAATTTGGTGTATTATTACTTTGGATTTAAACTTTTGAATTGATTCACACACTATTTTGATTATTTTTTTGTTCAATTTGTTAATTCATGTTTATATTTAGTTCTATATATTATTACTTGATTTTACATATATTTTTTTTAAAAACAAGGCAAAAGTTTCGATGAGCTTAACGAGCAACGAGTAGAGTTGAACAATAAGTTTTTTAATGAGCACGATACGAACAAAATTTTATTGAGCTTAAAGAGCATCGAATTAAGTCGAGCACGAGTTAAACAATTTTCGAGTCAAGTTGAGCACTGCTCAACTCGTAATTAACTCACTCGATAAATATCCCTAAATAAGAGGACTTAATGTAAATGTCGTCCATTGAAAATACAAGGTGGAGAAGACCGTTTATGAGGGAATTCATGAGATTGAATCAAGATCAAATATTCAATTATCAAATCGGTCCTACATCTTAATAATTTGAAAAGGAAAGACAAAAAATAGGCAAATTAACTACCTATCATCGGAACATCATAACAGGAGATTCGCATAATCTTATATCTCCTTACAACCGTACAAGATGAATACCTTACCCTCCGAAGGACTCAAAACCTCTGAAGATGGACCTAAAATAGAAAATAAGATAGGGACTTACCCTCCAAAAAAGAGTTTGAGTTAATCCTTCATATATATATATATATATATATATATATATATAATCATTAATGACTAAAATTGTCATATAATATTTTTAATAATGTGACGGAATAAAACTTCCATAGTCATATTAACCAAAAACCTTCAAGGGCTAAAATGAAAATCAAGTCATACTTTAGGGGTCAAATTATCTATTAGTCTTACTTTTGAGTCCTATAAAATCTATATACCACCATAGGTAATTCACCTCTTTTGTGGACAGTTTCTCTGGGAAATTTCCCCCTTTTGTTTGTGGCTTTGATAACATAGAAAATCAGCTTTCTAAAAGGAGAGAGAAGTGGCAGTAGCAATATCAGATGAGTTTGTCCCATCTCAAATTAGACTTACTCTATTTTCTCGACCACACGTTCTTCATCTCAAATTAGACTTACTCTATTTTCTCGACACGTTCTTCATCTCAAATTAGTCTTACTCTATTTTCTCGACCACACGTTCTTCATCTCAAATTAGACTTACTCTTTTTTCTCGACCACACGTTATTCGTTCGTTTGTTTGTTCCATTTCAAAATATCAAACAAGTAGCCATAAAACCAAAAAAAGAAACCCCTGAAGATAGAATCACCTAAATCATAAAACACAAACTCCCAATTATAGGCTCTCATCACCAGACATCCACCAAACAAGTCTGGTGAGTATACATACGAATTGAGTCGAATCAAGTAGAAAAAAAATTTGAACTAGTCAATTTGAGTACTATTTTATTATTCAAATTTTACTTAAATTCTTTTGATCTAGTTTATAACATTCATGTCCAATTTTCATTCAAACTTTATTGTAATTATTTATAATATCTTGATATTGGTTGGTTCCGATTTAAGCGATTCTCTCTAATTATCATATACCATAATATATATATATATATTTTTTCACATGTGTAAGTAAGATTTGTAATGTTAATTAATAAGTTAAATACAATCTAAAATTACATATTATATTTATTATGTTATTGTTTAAATAACAAATTTTGAGAATAAAGGACGAACCAAGCAACCTTGATGGTAAAAGAATTGTTGTTATTTCTTGAGGTTTTGGGTTTGCTTATTGCAAGAGTTTCTGACATGACAGGGGATGGATTGGTGGCAGCTGTCGTGGTTAGGGAATGGTTGGGAAGAGGGGTGGTGGCCATTGAGTGGGTGAAAAGGGTGATTTTCTATTGGGGGATTGAGCAGCGGC